ACCTTTACATTTGGGGGTGATAGTGTAAGAAATGTGGGGCATATTGTTTGTATGGACAAAGCAAAGGAATAAGAAGAATGACCTGCCAACTAACCAGCTCAATAGTTAATAGTATACAGAAATTCCTTTAATGACATGTGATTGTTTGTTGAAAATGTTGTCTTTTCTCCCTGCCTCACACTTCCCACTCACCATTTATTGACTTCTGTTCTCCTTGGTCTCTCATATTTCCACATGTTTTCTGACAAAGATATTGATAGCCCCATTCATAAAAATGCCAGTATTCCTTCAGTCTTTATAAATCTGATCATCTGTAATGGAGTGTTGCCCCTCTTAGAACTGCCTGTTTCRCTGTTTCTGTTATGTTCTTAGCCTCATTTGTATCTTCATTATCTAACATGGTGCCTAGGGTATAATTGATTTCAGCATTTCGCTGGTCTTAGTTATATCTWTGCTTGTACTTCCATTAGTTTTCAGTTGGGGGGAAAAAAGGCTTAACTGTGTTCATTGAAATTTGACCATTTTTTTTTTCATGGAACTTGACAAGCATATTCTGGAATCTATATGCAGTAATAAAGAGCCAATGGAAGCCAAGGTAGTTAAAGGGGGAAAGATCAAAGCTGGCTCWTTTGTTTTGTGTCTTGCACTAGAGTAAATAAATTCAGAATCGCATTGGCATAGCGATAGACAAATAGATCAATGAAACAAAACAGAGAGCTCAGAAATGGGGCCTAATATGGCAGAGGGGATATGCGTTCATCAAACCATTTCCCTTTTCTCTTGGACACAAACTAAACTACATTTACCAGCCTCTCTTACTGATCTCCTGTAACTGAATCCCGATCAATGGGCTAAAGGCATAAATGATGTACCTCTCTCAGGTAGGGCCCATAAAATCCTCCTGTGAACAATTTATGTTCCCTCCACCTACCATCTGAATGTTAAGTTCTTTTGAAAACCCCAGAGTAGGGCAAGAATACAATGTGGACGGAGCTGGGTTCCTAACCTGGAGGACAGCTCCCCAGGACAGCAGACCCATCTGGAGTACCTGTGTCAGATGATTCTTGATCCCAAAATAAACTTTAARTTACTGAGACTTGGGAGTTATTTGTTGGCTTGCCCTAATACATGTTGCCTGAATGAAGACTTGGCATACAAGATCTGGCTATAGCAGATTTTGCTGAGAAGATGATGGACTATGTACAGGGCAGTTTTCTACCTATGCAGAAACCATCTACAAGCTCAGTCCCTGTGCTATGCCCCATTCCAGGTGGACTAATGATCTAATTGTAAAACATAAATGTTTTAGTAGAATACATAGGAGAATATCTTTATGGTATCAGCGTAGAGACTTAAAGTCTAATACACACAAAGTGCAACAGAAAAGACTGATAAAAATCAAGAGCACTAAGATGAGAAAATTCTCAATTAAGGCACCATAAATAAGAAAACATGCCAAAGATAGAAAAAGTATTTGAAATGCATATCCAATAAAAGATTAGTATACAGAATATTTGAAGATTAAGGCAGAAAACCCCAGCAGAAAATGGGCAAAAATTATTAGGGAATAAAAAGCTTACATGTCCAATAACTATATGAAAAAATCTTAATGCCATTACTGTTAAAGATGTAAAAGCATGTTAACTTGAACAAGTTAGTATCATGTTTACCTGATTGCCAGCAGTAAAGTCCAATGATGCTACATTAGTTACCTGTAGAAAATGTGAGTCCCACCACGCAACTTGGAAAGCAGTTTTGAATGTCAMGGAGAGCTGAACAAACTTCCTTTGGTCTCAGCAATTTCACTGGCTGTGGGATTGATGTTTTGTATTTCTTAATCTCAGTAATCCATTGTGTTGTTATTCTCACCTCTTTCAATGTCTGAAATAGCTCATCATATTTTTAAGACAATATTGCTCTTCTCTTTAGTCCTTCATCCAAAAGGTATGGTTAGATTTTCCTCAGTCCTTTCCTTTCTTCTCACTTAGAGCAACCTACTTTATATCAATCCTTGAAGACTTTCTAAGTTCCTATAAAAACTGATCTATCAAATAACTATCTGAAGAACTTAAAATTAGGATGTAAGTTAATAAACAAACATATAGAGCATACGATTCACCAGACACTATTTTCTTGAATTAACTCTTGCACCAACATTTTTTTTTAAAGTCCCTTTCGATTCTGACAATAGCTCTCTGAAGTAGGTTGCTATGGTCCCCACTTAGGAATGAAGATGCTGAGGTACAGGGAGGTGGTCGGTAGAGGAGATGTTCACATCCTGATCAGCTTGCTCCCATGATTTCACCTTGCTGAAGTCTCTGCTGCCCTGTGACCAAGTGGAAGCGTAGATAAATTGCCTGGGAATTTCAGGCTAGAGTCAATTAGGGTTGGCCAGAAATGAGGTGACTGAATTAGCCATATGAACCACTGCCGCTGTCTCGATTCTCCAGCACATTTTTCTGACTCACCCAAGCAGTTTGCTTATTTCTGGTTGTTTTCTTCCTCTTAACAAGGAATGGTTTAATGTTGTCAGCATTGTCATGAACTACTTGAAACATTTATAGAATTCAGCAACTATTTCCAAATTCAGAATGCTTTTCGTTTACTGAATAATGCAGCTTTAATTTCTGGCCAGCTGAAGCTGGTTTTTGAAGAGTGGATCTGTTTATTGCAGGCTGCGTCCCACAGTGATGGACAAAATAAGAGTTTTTATAGTTCTTCATTGTATTTTAGTTTTTGGTACATTCAAGTCCTGAGAGGGGAGTACATAGCTTCCCAGAAACACACACTTCACAGATGAATTTCTTCCCAGCCTGGAAAGCAGCCAAATCTCTAAATTGATATTTCACTGAATGATAAATTGCATATAAGAAAATGATGCCAGATGCAAGAGGACTTGATCAAAGGACATTTGAACTCTGCAAATGATATGAAATATTTCTCTTTTTAAGAAATTTTAATAAATTGTTAAATAAAAGACTGTGTGAACAGTTTGAGCTTGATTAAGCTTATCCTACATATTTCAGTGAATACATTATTCTGGCAGTATATCAGCAGTGGGCTGGACATGAGAGAATCCCACGTGGAATATTTCTAGGGGGTGAGATCCACCTGAAATATCACACAAATCAGATTCTCTGGTTTCTGGCACTGGGCTGGTAAGCCTGCAAGATAATTGAGACTCTTAATACTTACTATTTTGCAAGTTCAAGGTATTGCTTTTCCTGATTAGGTTTGAAGCAAACAGGTGCATGCTTCTTTTCTGATAACCAGGACAATGCAAATCCTTTCAGTGGGGTTTCAGTGCATTTTTTCAGCTTGCAGAGGTCAAATGCATTTTCTAAGCCACATTTAGAAGCATTGAAATCCTTGCATGGAACTTAAAAGCACTACAGTACATAAGTTCTGTTTTAAGAAGTAGCACATTCTTTATTTTTCCTTTCCGGATATGCTTTTCTTTAGAAACAACACAGATCTCACCAATTTTAAACAGTTCTTCAGAGCGAGAAAAGCAACAATCTCTTACTTTAAATTATCGAATGAAACTCTAGTATGTTATAAACACTAAAGCCATCTTAATAGTGCTATCAATTTTGTTCAGGTCCTATCTAAATAGAATGTTCCGACTCTCATTTTAAAATGATAAAAACAACCAATCTTTCACTCCAATGCTGTGTGCTTCTCCCAGCTGCCATTGCTTAATTTTTTTCATGGTAGATGGTCATGGTCCTATGAATGGACAGGTTTGTTCCAAACAAGCAGTAGCCTCAGTATATTGAGGCTCTCTACATGAAGAGATTAGAGATTAGACCTCATAGCTATACTCAGAGAAATATTTAAAAGATTACCTTTTAACAGGGAATTGATGGTGGCATCATTGATAAGAAATTGCAAGTATATAGACCACAAAAGTTTTGAGAAGATCTAGAAATAAAGTCTGGTCCACAACAACTTTTCATATTTAAATCTGGGCCACACATCTCATGCTAGGTCTTTAGGATTATAATAAGCTGTCCTATAGAGGAAGACTATTTCTATACTGAATACCAATGCAATTATCTATAGATGTCTTCTCCCTTTGAAATAAATGAGGTTGCTGGTAAGTCCAGCTTGGTGAGGCCTCAGCTTTTCAGACAAATAACTTCCATGAGTTTCAAAGGGATTCCTTGGTTCTGTGCTACCATAGTCCACCTTCATCCCACACCTCCTATTCTAGAGGCAAAATGAGCAGGAATTTGGGGGTCTCTGAACAAACTTCCTGGTTGTGTAGGGCAAGTATATATATAGTCAATCTCTATCCATGTCAGCAGGTCTAACCAACTGTGGATCAAAAGTATTTAGAAAAAAGTCACATCTGTGCTCAACATGGCCAGACTTTTTTTTTTTATCCTTATTCCCTAAACAATGCAGCGTAACAGTGATATACACAGCATTCACATTTTATTGGACATGTTAAGTCATTGGGTAATGATTTTTATATGTCAGGGTATGTGTAGGTTCTACATAAATGCCACACCATTTTACATAAGGAACTTGAGCATCTCCAGGTTTTGAAATCCCCAGGGGTCCTAGAACCCATCCCCGACTGATGTCAAGAGACAACTGTCTTTTTATTCTCACTTCTCCTGGGTCACTCACAGTCTGTTTCAAAAAGGCGATGCTCATCCTTCTGTGAGTCGTCCTGTCCATGCTTATCTCCATGTACAATCTCCACGTACACAAGCAACTTCTCTTCAAAGAAGAGAGGCKGCTCTTGGCTTTTGTGGAGCCCCCTTTGGTGCAGGGGATTTGAGTGACAGACATTGAAGCAGTAGCTAAAGGGAGTCCTTTTCTATATCTGTTCCAGAGAAATACTTTTCAAGGCCACTCACTAAGAATGAGGTCAAGTTCTACAGCAGATGGCAGGCTTAGGATTGGCTGGCACGTGCCAAAGGCAAGGGGGTCATCCATTTTTCATGAAGTTATAATTAACACACTGTCTGCCTCCCTGCCTCCCACAGGTTCAACCTTTGGGAATGAAGAACAGCCAGCTCTGAAGGCAGCTCTGCCTTCTAAGGAGACACCCAAGGGGGCCAGCCGAGTGACCCCTCCAGCATCCTCCAGTGTGACAACACCCCGCAGGAGTTTACTTCCAGCGCCAAAGTCGACTTCTGCACCTGCTGGTAAGACTTTCTGTCCTGGAGAGGCTCCGTGGCAGAGTGCCCTTTCTGCTTTCGTGAAAAGGCTTTTGAAAGTCCCTGTGTACATCAGTTATTTAAGTGAGATGACAGATGAGTCTTAAAGGGCATTTAAAATTAATAATAATGCTCTTGTTTTCAAGGTGCTTTCATAGGTCCATATGTTTAAATCCTCAACTGCCTCCTATCTTCCCCCTATTTAGTAACCCTTTGAATCACAGTCTTGATTTCAGAAAGCAAGAATAAAGCTATCTTAAGCAGACTGTCATTTGGCTCAGGGAAGCGAGCGCTCATGAGATCATTAGAAAGGCAGGGGCATAAGCGAGCTCCACACTGTGCCTCCAGTATGAGCCCTGAACCTCACTTAGCACTGCTGCCACCTTCTGGCTCCAGGCTCACACCCCCAAAACTGGACAGGACCCAGAGATTAGCTTCTACTGCAACAGGTTGGATCAAGAGCTGTGCTATGCCAGCAACATGGAGCCCCGTATCCGGCCTCTCAGGTGCCAGGAAGCAAGTGGCTGAACATGGGGAACTCAGTTATGTAAAGATGAGGGGAAGGAAGGTACTTCTGTAGACTCTGCCAAGGCCATCCAGGTGTGGCCCCTCCTGTGCTTTCTCCTGCCTTGTCTCACACAGTGCATCTGTCACCAGCAGGGACATCTGAGCATATTGTCAGCTTTCCATCATCTGCTATCAGGAAGGCAGAGTGTGTGTTGAGCCCCAATCTACTGTAGATGGTTCACTCTGGTATTTTCTTCTCCATATTTTTCTTCTGTGAATATAATCATATATATTAATACACACACACACACACACACAGAGACACACACATATGTATTTTATGAGCTTTTAAAAATGTGATGGCATTACAGATTGAGCATCCCTTGTCTGAAATCCAGGGTGCTTCAAAATCTGAAACTTTATGAACACTGATAAAATGCCACAAGTAGAACATTCCCACCTGTATTCATGTGATGGGTTGCAGACAAAACAAGGGTGAAAAAACAAACAAACGAAAGAAAAAAAAACCTCAGGCACATTAACAATGTTGTATAAAATTACCTTCAGGCTATGAGTATGAGGTATGTGTGAAACACAAATTAATTTCAAATTTAGACTTGAGTCACATATCTAAGATTATCTGTATGCAAATATTCTAAAATCTTTTTTAAAAAATTTAAATCTGAAACATTTCTGGTTCCAAATATTTTGAATAAGGGATACTCAACCTATATACCCATTTTTCTACATGTTGCATTTCTTACTCAATATATCATAGAAATACCTTCAAATTAATGATATGGCTATTCATTTCAATGGCTTCCGGTGGGGATATAGCATGATTTATTCAACCATTCCCTGCTAAATGGGCACTCTCTTTGTGGTGGGTGTTTGCCTGATCAGTGCTGCAGTAAGTAACCTTCAATGGGCAGCGTTCTTTCCATAAGATCAATTCCCAGGAATGAGCTCGCTTTGTGTGAAGCACCCATAGGTACCTCTAGATTCCTTTGCAAGGAGCCTGCAATGTTTGTTTCCACTTGAATCTCTCCACTTGGGATTGGTGCCTTAGTCAGCTTTTCATCATTGTAACCAAAGAACAATTTAGAGGAGGGGAAGTTTATTTGGGACACACAGTTTCAGAGGTCTCAGTCTATAGCCAACTGTATTGTTCTGGACCCAAGATGAGGCAGCACATCATAAGGGAAGAGCCCCAAGAAGGAGAGCTGCTCACCTCATGGCAGGGTCAGGAAGCAGAGAGAGGGGGAAGAAGGGAGGGGACACAGGGAAGAGTCCCAGTGACCCACTTCCCAGTGACCCACTTCCTCTAGCCATACCTCACCTGCCTACAGTTACCATCCAGTTAGATAAGGTTATAGCTCTCACAAACCAATCATTAATGTATCATGCAAGAGATTTAGGGGACACCTCATATCTAAACCATAACACTGCATCCCTGGGTCTCAAAGTCTGTATCCCTCTCACAATGCAAAATGCATTTAGTCCCTCTCCATGAGTCCCATAGTCTTCACAGTTCCAGCCTTGCCCAAAAGTCCAAGCCCAGAGTCTCTTCTGAGAGACAATAAAAACTCTTGGCCTTGAACCCCTTGAAAACCAAAAATAAGTTACACATATCCAATATACAGTGACACAAAAATTCCCATTCCAAATGGGAGAAATAGGTGCCGATGTCTCGGCTGGCACTGAATCACGAGCCACCACACAGCTTTGTAGGTTCAAACAGCAATTCTTTATTCCCGAACTCACACCGGCCTCCAACAAACACGTTCTGGTGCAATCTCCAATATGCCACCGCCCCCAAAATCCTACTCCACGAGGCTTTTTCCAAATCCCATTTGAATCTCATGAGAACTCAACTGGGAACAAGCAGCAGGAACACCCTAATCCCAGCAGCCATAATCTTCAACCTCAACTTCCCTAAAACCCCTGTTGTCTTAAACCGGGAAACGCCTTAAACCGGGATCACCCTAAACCCAAGGACCGGGATACTTCCTCAAACCTGCAGGATACTTCCTCAAACCTGGATCCACCCTCGATCACCTTGAGCAGGGTCATCTTACTAAAGCATACATGCAATGTCCCATCGAATGTCCTCTAAGCAGCATGGGGTACGCTGGCAAGGAGATTTTGATGCGTCATTCCTACTTGGTAATGGCCCTCAGCAAATAGGGGCATAGAAAGAAGGGATGGGGCTGAGGAACGACTTAAATCCAGTCAGGCAAATAGGTCCCACAACTCCTTATAAGCATCTAGGACACTTGGCTGTGAGGTGTTATTTCCAAAGGGCTTTGACAGCCCGGCCCCTTTGTCCTTGCTGGTTGCAGGGTGAAGGGACTCTCTTTTAGTCTGACTCTCTCTGCAGCCAGCAGCTTCTCTCAGCAAACAGCCCATGGTCGACATTAGTAGCATTTCTTAATTACTGGTGTCTCCATTCTAGCTTCAGATTTACCTTTGCAACTTCACAAATCACCCTCCCAGGGGCAGCCTATAAGGACTCCACCTAACTACACTTTGGCTGACTTCCCAGGCCTTCCTTTGAAATCTCAGTGGAATCTTCCATGATCCCTTAACTTGAGCCTCCTGCATTCCTGCAGAACCAACATCATGTGAATGATGACAAGGTTTGCTGCCAGCTCACACAATGCCTGGGCCCCTGGGAATAATGTCTGTAGTTTCTTCTGAGTGTGTGGCTCAGTATGAACAACTTCCTAGGACCCTCTATGCAAGAAGGGCACCCCCACAATCTCTTCTCAAAAGAATTTTTCCTTCTACATCCTGGAACCTGAAGTAGGTATGGTCCTGCAAATTCCTTAAAAAGGTGCCCTTGAGTTGGCTTTCTAATTGTCTCTGTGCAAAGTACTTAGCATCTCTTTAGGAACTATAATCTCTTTAAACACACCTTCCTTGGCCCCAGCTTTCCATCCACTCTTCTGGCCAAATTGCAAATTGTAAAATCCTTTTATCTCTATCTCTTGCTCCTAATTCTCACATGAAACCTGGCTAAAAGCTGCCAATAACATCCATGCCACTGAGTGAATGTGGTGCTGCCTTGAAATTTCCTCCCCCAGATTAATTAGTCCATCATTTTAAAATGAAGATTCATACAAAGTTTCCAAACATAGGAAAAATGTAGTCCAGTTTATTTGCCAGAAGATAACACAAGTAATCTTTAATTCAATTCCCAGCAGAGTTCTCATTTTCTTCTGAAACCTCATGAGCACAGTCTGTATTCCCATAAGCATTCTGATCTTCTGAGCTCCCACCAAAGTCACCCACCGAGCCCCACTTACAAAAATCTGCATCTCTATAATCTTTTCAAAATTCTTCCTGCAAACAAACTCCAAAAGCTTCTAAGTCCCATGGTAAGATTAGTCACAGCAAGGACCCTCCTCCTCAGTATACCAGTTTCTGTTTTAGTTAGCTTTTCATCACTGTGACCAAAATACCTAGCAAGAACAACCAAAGGAGGGAAAGTTTATTTGGGGCTCACGGTTTCAGAGGTCTCAGTCCACAGGTGGCCAACTCCATTGCTCAGAGCCCAAGGTGAGGCAGCACATCATGGGGGAAGGGTCCAGGGGAGGAAAGCTGCTCATCTCATGGCAGGGTCAGGAAGCAGAGTGGTCAGGGAAGGAACCACAGGGAAGATGCACCCTTCCAGTGCACAACAGTGACCCACTTCCAGCCTCTCCCCACTGCCTGTATTTACTACCCATTTAATCCATTCAAACTAAGATGAACTAAAATTGTGAGATTATAGCTCTCACAATCCAATCACTTACCTCTGAACATTGTGTATTAACACAAGAGCTTTGGGAGGACCTACCTCATATCCAAACTACAACAATAGTATTATCCCTGTCTAAAATTTTCATCTCCTTGATGGGAATAAAATGTCATCTCAATATTATTTAAAAGTGCTATCACGAGACTAGCTTAAAACCCTGCTTTATGCTGCAGTGATACCTCATAATTTCCTTTGGAAAGATATAAATTGTTGAGTTTTGTTCTTCCTTGGGGAAGGTAACCTTCTTGGAGCAGTGACCATGTCTCTTTGATTAAACAGTATCCCCCTTGCCTGCCACAAGGACAGATTCCATAGTAGGTACTTAACATCTGCTTGTTAATGGTTGAATGAATCAACAAATGAATGAATGAATGAATGAATGTCACATGGCATTTCAATCTTTCAATTCCAGCTTCTCAATAGTTTGGCCTTGCTTTAACTAGAAAATAATTACATAAGCCCATGGTCAGTTAAAGTACAGTTGTGGAATCAACCCTATAGACCAATGTTTCTCAAACTTTAATGCATTAGTCATCTATAGGACTAAAAAGAAAAAGAAAATTACTTGGGCCTATCCCCAGAATTTCTCATTCAGTGGATTCAGTTTGAGATCAGAGAAATTTACATTCTAACAAATTTCCAGGTGATGTTGCTGTTCCTGGTGGTCTGGGGACTCATA